ATTTTTACATTCACTTGCCGATTTATTTGTGTGTTAAGAAATCCAGAACTAATAAAAATATATGTATATGAGCATTGGAGGGCGTGGATATAGGATAAAGGCAATAGGAACGTTCATCTTGCATTGAGCCCGAACACCAACAATTGTGGAACTATCCTATAGTCATAATGATTTATAAAATATACATCACATCAAAGTTCATGGTATCGCTTTCAGTCTGTGCATCCGTTCGTCCGTTGTTTTGTCCGTTTGTTCGTCCCTCTGTCCCGCTTCAGGTTAAAGTTTTTGGTCAAGGTAGTTTTTGATGAAGTTGAAGTCCAATCAACTTGAAACTTAGTACACATGTTCCCTATGATATGATCCTCCTAATTGTAATGCCAAATTAGAGTGTTTATCCCATTTTCACGGTCCACTGAACATAGAAATTGATAGTGCGGATGGGGCATCGTGTACTATGGACACATTCTTGTTTTTTTGTTATAGTTATTCAGCAAGCAAGTCGGTATATATGATTTATTCTGCACGGCTCGGGTGACCCTAATTAACCAGAACGACGTAGGAGTTCGGGTTAAAGGGTCATCCCGAGCCGTGCAGATTAAAGCATATACAACTATTTGATTGGCGAATAACTGTTTTAACACATTACGTCATCAATTTACGTGAACATTTTGGAAATATGCGGACGATATTCCGCAATCCACGGCTCCTAGGAAAGTTTCTTGTAGGGCAAAGAAAGGGGGAAATACGCTGTTATGGAGTTAAAGGTTGGTAAGTATTAAATAATTAACATTTTTTTTATATTTAGGCTTTTTCTTAAATTGTTACATTTTTTGGAGAATTGCAGTTTGATGTAAGATTGTTTTTCATCGTTTCTGTTAAATTTATTCACAATTTTTATATAAATTAGTGACGATTTAAAAATTGACATATTGTGTAAACATCTTTCTTTTCTTTTTTTAAACTATACTACATGTTGCCCTTTAGTAGTCATTAGTTTGTTTTTGTCGTTTGATTACTGTCGTATTGACGTATAACCTACATCTCCTCAGTTTTAGTTCAGTTTGCTACATACCTTTTAAATCGGTGTATGAAAAATCATAACTGAACGGGTTATTGATTATAGATTAATTGCCTTTCTTTCCCTCAATAATATGCATAGAAGAAGATGAACCGAGGAGAAATGTATCTTAATTCAAAATATTAAGTAAACAGAAAAAAATGTTTCATTTTTCAATCTTTGACTTCCCCTCCCCCCTTTATTTTGTGTCTACTGAATTCATTTTTGAAGACATGTCGCATCTTAACAATTGATCTGCAGCTTATTCCCCCTCCCCCGCTGTTTTGGTACAAATTTAAAAATGATCCTCATTAAATTCGATCGCAAAATAGTCACTAAAAAGGTATACATATCTAAATAGTCGTAATACATTCATTCCATGGAATACAAAACTATCAGAGTTTATTTAATTTGATATTCTAAAATACACTTTTTTTTTTTGGCAGAAATTACAAAATATAATTATTAAGTAAACTGGTTTGACTGTGAAACACCCATTTAAGATTTATATTGTACACAAAATATTATAAAATAGATATTTTTTTTAATTTTATGGAATCAAGTTACATCCCTTTCAAAATCCAGGGTCCGCCTTAGCTGTGCATTATCCAGATTATAGCACAGTAAGAACAAAGAGATTTTACCCATGTCATGTGTTAACGAAAATAGTACACAGAACACAGTACGGAATAAGCAAACCGTCATTATGAAATATAAGGAGATGTGGTATGATTGCCAATGGGACAACTCTTCACCAATGTTCAAATGAAGTGTAAGGAATTAGACAACAATATGTTGTTTTAGATAAAGGAGTGCAGAACAATAAAGTAGTAGTTAATAAGGATTGGAGTCGAACCCTCTTGTTTCGAGCGGGGTTCATCGAATTTACAACCTCGGTGTTGACATCCTAGTGATTACTGTAGATATAATACTTCTTAGATCGATCGGCATACCAGGCCTCGGAAATTATTTAACTGATAGAAAAATATGTGGTAAGATTGCCGATGAGATTATTCTCTACCAGAGAATATAACAACTATTATAGATCACCGTACGGCCCTCAATAATGAGCACAATCGATACCTCACGGTAAGCTTTAAAAGGCCCGAAATAAACGAAAAAAAGTTTAAACAATTCAAACGAAAAAAGTAACGGCCTGATTTTTTCCATAACAATAAACGGGAAAATAATATGATATACAGCAACAAACGACAGCCAACGAGTTACAGGTCAATAACTTGGGACAGGCACATACAGAATGTGGCGAAGTTAAACACTTTGCTGGCGCCAAACCCTTCCCTAACCTGGAACAGTGATGAAACAGTACAACACATACACTTTTGTGCGAAATTTTGTGTAAATTCATTTTAGGTAAAAAACTAATCAATATTCTATTAACTGATATTAATGTTATACAAGTATGATGCAAGTAATATTTAAATTTCCAATTTGGTTTCCGGAAGAGTGGTGTAAAAATGTATTACATTTATTGTTGAGTTGCTGTCTCATTGAAATGTACTCAAATCAGGTTTTATTGTGACATTTTGGTAGACACCCATTCAACGCATCGATATCCTATACTAATCGATAAAAATATAATTTATAGCATAGAATATTTTTTTTTATTTATAATTTATCATATTGGCTTCATTTTTCCGTTCTGAAAATCATAACACATTATTTTTCGTTGTTTTCTATAACCAACACCGAAATTAGTAACGTTTTAAACGTTGGTTAAAAGTTTTGTGACAGGAGACCTTTGCCTTTGGGGATTCATATACTTAGTATTTTTTTTTGTTTATAATCATAATCAAGATTGTTGTCCGAATGAATGCCGTTCAAATGTAATAGATTAGGAGGCACGTTTGCTTTGTACATTAGTTACGTCAAAAAGTGATTATATGCAAAGAATAAGAAAGAAAAAACAGTACTTGAAGAATGCAGTAATAATGTAATAAGTTAATAACTAACGAATTTACGGCTTTTTAGAAATGATGTCCAAATTGGCCATCATCATCTGATCATAATACAAAGATCAAAATTAATGGAACAAAATCATCTGCAGATACTGTACTTTTCTCATTTATCAAACTGATAAACAAATAACTACCGAGAAGAAAGGCCCATGCTTTGTATTGTACTAACGGGATAAAAAAAACAAATTGATGTTTTTAATAATAAAAAAAATGTGTGGACTTTAACGGTGCTTTTTTGTGGACTTTAGCGGAACTTGTTATTGTGGACTTTAACGGCGTTTTCTTGTGGACTTTAGCGGAGGTCATTTTGTGGACTTTAGCGGAAGGTTTGTGGACTTTAGCGGCGTTGTGGACTTTAGCGGAAATTTGTTGTGGACTTTAGCGGTGTTGTGGACTTAGAGGAATTATGGACTTTAACGGTGCCACGCTGCTTACTTAGTATTTAAGGGCTACGCTGATCTACGCTGGGCAATGCATATTGTAAATATTTTTTTTTAGATTTCCGATTGTACTGCGTCAATTCATCAGTCAGATGTTATTGTAAAATTATCTATATTTCTTTGTCCCCTTGAACCCCCTACCAGGGCTCTGGAAAAAAATTGGTGCCACATGCAGGTATTTCACCGGAAGGGGGGGGGGGGTACTTCCTATATTTTAAGTGGTACGAGTGTGCCGCAAAACAGGGTCGCTTTTTCATGCCCTGCTGGTTAGAACAGGGTCCCTTTTTATGTCCTGCTGGTTAGAACAGGGTAGCTTTTTCATGCCCTGCTGGTGAGAACAGGGTCTTTTTTTAAACAAAGTATTTGTATAGAACAGGATCGCTTATTTAACTGTTTAAGATACAGTCTAGAACCCGGGTCTAGAACAGCATCTATTTTACATTTTCTTGAGCGTGTCTAGAACAGGGTATGTTTTTCAATATTTCTGTTTAGAACAGGGTATATTTTTCAATGTTTTCTGGTTAGAACAGGGTATAATATGGCAAGTGCTGTCGGCACAGTTATACCCGAAAGGATAGTCAGTAACCCCCCGGGGTATTTCAGCTATTCAGTAAACAAAAAAATATCCGTTGAACGGACGCTGAAATTAAATTGCATGTAATTCTCTGGGGCAAGCGAAACTTGTTTTAAAGGACAATGCCGTTATGTTTTTTGGTTTTATAATATTATTCTTATACATTTTTTTCAAAAAATGAAAAACAGCGAAAATGTGTCCATGGCGAATAAATAAACATCTAACAATGAAAAACTTAAAAGATTTTGAAAATGATTCTGCTCGCGAATTAAAGAGAATCAGGCGTAGCCTAACGGAAAATATCAAGTTAGTTTGAATCCGGTACGGAATATCTATCATTTGTTTCATCTCACATCCTCTTTGAAAAAGTGTAGAATGTATTTCACCATTGTTTTCTTCTACATGTTATCGATGTAACATTACGTACACACCTGTTACCTCTAGGGCTTTATAATACAGACACAACTTCCTGATTTAAGTTACATATTGCACGAATATTTGACAATGCACAGGCGCAAAATAATAAATAAAAATATATCAAGAAAATACTCAATATGTTTATTTTTGATAACATCCATATTCATAAAATAATACCAATAAAATCCACAGCGCCTAGCTTGTTGGTATATACTCAATGGCGGATCCAGCCATTTTCAAAAGGGGGGTTCCCAACCCTGGATAAAGGGGGGGGGGGGGTTCCAACCATATGTTCCCATTCAAATGCATTGATCGTTCCAAAAAAATGGAGGGTTTCAACCCCCGGAATTCCCCTCCGGCCCCTTTTCTGGATCCGCCACTGATACTGGACATTCAATACTTGTACAATGTACATGACATTTTGCATTTGATATCAGGTTCATATATATAAATATACGTGTACTTGTATTAATATATTGCCCGAGGTAAAGAAGCCAGGATTTATTTGCTTAGACACCTATAAAATCAATATTTACATTTTTGTCACGTGTGAACATTGAACCCTTCAAGGTAAACCTAACTGAGATCATCATCATGGCCCTCGCAGAGATTGGATCGTCTATTGCAGGAACATGGGTATTGGTAAAAAATGAAAATCTCGATGATTATCTGAAAGAAATAGGTAAGCAATTTTAAGTTTTAAGAGTGAGGTTAAAATCTGGTACGTGGTATTTTTTTGGAGGTCATAATCTGGAACGTGGTATGATCACATTCGGTTCTCAAAATGTTGTATCAAGTAACCTGGCCCTGGGACTATTATACTAACAATACCCAGAAGTAACCGAGTCCATGTGAAAAATGTGAATTTCTTTGTTTGCATAAATATTCATTAGAAATAGTAAAGTTATGAAAGTTGAAAATGTTTTCTTGTCAATAAAAGTGTTTTAAACTGTTAAATTGTCACAAAAATATATCCTATGATGAGATCAAGGATTTGTATAGTACAATACAAATCCTTGATGAGATGTGATGGCGATTTCTCCCTTATTGAGCATTGACATAATCAGACTTATACGGATAGACATGATTGATTTCGTCTCTTAAAATTTGGAGGTAATATATGTAATAGGACTTCTTTTTACTTTAGGGGGTAGGATGGGGGTTTACAGAAAAGAGAATAATGGGCTAAAAGATAAAGAATAGAGAAAAATGGACTAAAAACATAAAGAATAGAGAATAATGGGGTGCTAAAAATATAAAGAATAGAGAATAATTGGCAAGAAATATAAAGAATTAGAGAAAAATGGTCTAAAAAAAATATAGAAATGAAGGACCCCCATCCATACTCTTCTTTAGGAGTCCTAACACACATATATATAGAGGCTGTACTAAACTATCTGTAACCCTAAACAATACCCTAACTAATAATTAATATTATTGTTTGTACTTTCAATAAAATAGGTGTAAACTTTGTTTTACGAAAGTTAGCAGCGGCAGCTAGTTCAACAATGATTATAAGTGTTGAAGATGACCATGTTAGAATTGTCACCAAAGGACCCAAGGACTCAGATCACAAATTTAAATTAGGCGAAGAGGTGGAGTCAAATGATCCCCAGGATAACCCAATGAAGGTAAATGTAACAATAAATTCTGTTCGGCAGTAAAATTTGTCCCCTGGTCTTTGTTTCCTATGTAATCAAGTCCAAGACCAACATTTACTAGAAAAATAAGACTCAGGATAAATTTTCCTAGGAAAATAAGTCCATATCTAGTAAAATATGTGTGGCACGTATTTTTTCTAGGTCAAATAATTTTCCTAGTATGGCATGACATGGTCATTTTTATCTAGGAATATTAAGGACATATGGACATAGATACCCGTAGGAAAATGTATATCGTATGTTACATGATATTTTAATGACCATCCATGTTTTTATGAAACAAGAATTATTCTGGCAATAATCCAATGCAGTAATTATTTTACCTATCCTGAACCTTTCTTTTTTTTCATTCACTGTACTTTAAATCATTGAATTTACTGCACTATATACTTCTCTTCATTACTAAGTGTCATATAACATATAATTTATGTTGACCTTCATTTTGACCTTCATTTCTTATTTTGTCATAAATATAGCTGAGTCTCAATAAAGAGAACCTAAGGGGAAATGGAAATTCTCAATGTAAATATCACGAAGATGCATTAATTTTTTAGTTGGTCTATTAGAAAGTCTTTATAAAAAAGATTTTCTCATAGGAGTTACACACTGATAAAAACAGCCTAGTTTACAATATATCTCTATGTAAAAGTTCATCTGCAGATTTATTTTCGATTCTTCATTACAGGTCAGCTGGCCACAATCCAGCATCTTTTTATCATGCTATTTTTTTCACCATTAAGCGTATGCTTCAGTGAGTTTTATTTTTTAATTAACATATGTGTAAAAAACATGCAACTAATTTACAGCCGAAAATGATATAAAAAAATCATATAGCGTATGTTTTACAAATGTTACATATATCTTTGTTGTTATTTGCTTAAATCAATCTAGAAAATATACTAATTTTGTTTTTAATTCTAATGCATCAAAATCAGTACGCCCGTCCCTTGGCATGGTACTGATCAAAGTGTGTTTTTATACGACCGCAAAAAATTGTATATTGGTATCACATCGTCGTCAGCGTCAGAGTTGTCCGAAGAAATTCGGTTTTTCAGACAATAACTTTAGTTTAAGTGTATGGATCTCTATGAAATTTAACCAAAAGGTTCAATACCACAAAAGGAAGGTTGGGATTGTTTTTGGGGGTGATGGTCTCAACCGTTTAGGAATTAGTGGCCAAAACAAAACAAAATTTGGGGGGTCAATTTTTTCCACAAAAGTAAATTCTCTTCAAATATTTTTTTTTTTTGAGGGGGGTAAACAAAAATTGGAGGGGGGTAAACAAAATTTTGGGGGATCAATTTTTTTTCCTCAATATTTAAAAAATTGGAAATTGTCAATTTTCCAAAGAAAAATTGGGGGTCACATTTTATTTTGCTAGTTCTTTGTATATAGTCTGAAAACAGATTTACTAAGTATTGCGCAACAGCACAGTGTATTGCACAACAGCAAGAAATCTTCAATTGAATATAAATTCAAATAATGCAACCAATTTCAAGTTCTTTGACACATTTATTCTGTGTCAGAAACCTATAATGGGTCAAATATTCAATTACAATCCAAATTAAGACCTGTATCAAGCTTGAAAATTGTGTCTTTTTTTGCCCCAATTGTTCAGGGTTGGACCTCTGCGGTCGTATCCAGCTGGGCTCGGCGAAGAAGTTTATTTTGTTTTTAGTCTTACATATTTCTTACATCAGTAAGCATTCAAAATTAATAAATATTAAATCGTTATTTCTATTAGATTGAGTTATATTACCAAAGTCATTCTGTTACAGTAGAACTTTTTTTATTATCGGGACTAATCAGCTAATGCATGATTCTACTGGCAGGCTTTATATCTCATAATAAAAAAGACAGATAAAATAAACTCTATACTTGAATGTGTTATATCCAATTTATAGATTATATATTAACACCATAAAAGTGCATACATTGTGTAATTATATCCCATTCAAGATTGAAGATATGACGGTCGTAAAATCTTATAGAATTATCAATATAGAGTACTGTCTAGGATTTTAAATGAAAAATAACCTTTATAAATTGTGTGCGTTCGACTAAACACTTTTCTTGATTTACTCTCACCAGGAACCGGAAAATCCGAACATCGTAAAGCCGTGTTCATCAACATAAATAATCAATGAATAAGTATTTATAAAAAAAATTAACATGATAATTTTTGGGGTTTTTGTTTTGTTTTGTTCAGAACTCTTACTTGCATAAACGTTTAGATTCTTATCCAAACATGTAGATTGAGAGACATCGTTTGGTTATCGTACGGCCTTCAACAATGAGAAAAAAAACCAAGTCAGCTATTATATAATAGGCTCTCGACATGAAAAATGTGAAACAATTCAAAATCGAATCAAAGTTAGCCCACTGTTTTTTAGCGTTGCTCAATCTTTTGAATTGGTTGTCCGATAAGGGTAATGTTGATCAGTGTTGTCTCTATGTCTTTCTTTTTGCAACTGGGGGTGGGGGAGGGGACCCTCAATCTTTTAATGACAGAGTCGAGCATCTGAGACATCCGTTACCCCACCCTGTTCATATATTTTGAATAGCAAAAATACATACCCTATCATATCATTTTGACAGAAGTATACCTTTACGCTATTTCACGGAGATATAAATAGATCTGACAAATATGTGATGCATTTATGTCTGTGGTTTTAATGGCATTTGTGGAAAAATATTCGACATTCAATTAGTTTCAGATATTTATAATTCAATCAACAGCCTTTTAATATATTTCATCTCAAATTCTCGAACTTATCATATATACCGGTTATCATGAAATAGAGACCTGTTCCAACGCCTCCCCCCTAATATTTTAGTTTTGCAACGAAGAGTTTAAACTATTGTTTTTCTTTCATCAATAAATAAAGACGTTTATAAAAGCATGTAGCTTCTTACTTAACGTCTTAGTTCTCGTTCTCAAAGATTTTTGAATAAATATAAACCTGACTCCGGTTTTCTTGTATTTCTTATCAATAGACAGTACTTATCCTCGGTAAACGGACAGAAAGTCACAGTACAAAAAGTCACAAACTTGATAGGACAAAAAGTCACAAATAATTTGTTGACTATTGTTTGAATATATAAGAGAAAGATCTTGAAATATTATCTTTTTATTACATATATTCGTTTTACAGTTTAGGAAATTATTCATTAGCCTTGATAAATGAAAATTTATTAAATTTTAATCATGCAAAGGATATATTTCTTGGCACCATGAAGCCGTTTAAGTACCAAGCCACGTTGACATTTTGTTTTCTTAACAATTATTTGATCATTACTGATATTTATTAAATAAATTTTAATTACAAAGTTGCTTTATATATAATAGTTCAAGAAAAATATAATATGTTTTTTTTTTTAAATAAGTGTTTTCTTACTCAAAGAAAAATATACACAGTATGTCAGACTAACATGTCTAGTGGTGCAATCAGGGTTTTGTTTGTGCAATGGGGTTTATAAAGGGGTACTTTAAGGGGCAAAAAGAAAAGAGGGTTTTACTATGGGATTTTATTTTTTTTTAATTTTCAAATGATTATAGATTGAAAACCGTTTGTGATAGACACAATCTTTTTAATTGAAAATGTTCTAAATGATAAAGCCCATTAAATGAAATACTGGGTTAGTCCCCAGGGGTCACCCCCACCCCCTGTCATTTAAGAAAGTTCTAATACCTTGTAAGTGGTCAAGATCCCCACCTCTAAACCATATATATTCTGGTTTGTCATGCTAAGATAGTTTGAATGATATACAGGGTTAGTCCCCAGGGGTCATCCCGACCCCTTGCCATTTGAGAAAGTTCTAATATCTTGTTTATGGTCGAGATCCCCACCCCTAAACCATATATATTCTGGTTTGTCATGATAAAGCACATCAAATGAAAAACAGGGTTAGTCCCCAGGGGTCACCCCCACCCCCTGTCATTTAAGAAAGTTCTAATACCTTGAAAGTGGTCAAGATCCCCACCCCTAAACCATATATATTCTGGTTTGTCATTCTAAGATGGTTTGAATGATATACAGGGTTAGTCCCCAGGGGTCATCCCGACCCCCTGCCATTTGAGAAAGTTCTAATATCTTGTAAATGGTCGAGATCCCCACCCCTAAACCATATATATTCTGGTTTGTCATGATAAAGCACATCAAATGAAATATAGGGTTAGTCCCAAGGGGTCACCCCCACCCCCTGCCATTTAAGAAAGTTCTAATATCTTGTAAGTGGTCAAGATCCCCACCCCTAAACCATATATATTCTGGTTTGTCATGCGAAGATGGTTTGAATGATATACAGGGTTAGTCCCCAGGGGTCATTCCGACCCCCTGCCATTTGAGAAAGCTCTAATATCTTGTAAATGGTTGAGATCCCCACCCCTAAACCATATATATTCCTGTTCGTCATGTCTCGAACATTTGAATGACGTATACGGTCAGTCCCCAGGGGTTCCCCCCCACCCCCAATGTTCTAATATCTTGTAAGTGGTAAAGATCCCCACCCCTAAACCGTATATATTCCTGTTCGTCTTGTCTCAAACATTTGAATGACGTATAGGGTCAGTCCCCAGGGGTTCCCCCCACTCCAAATGTTCTAGTATCTTGTAAATGGTCGAGATCCCCACCCCTAAACCATATATATTCTGGTTTGTCATGCCAAGATGATTTGAATAATATACAGGGTTAGTCCCCAGGCATCACTAATGAATAACTTTACTGGACCAAACCAATTTTCACTGGAATTTGCCCAATGTCGGGCGACCCTGGGAATTACGAATTATGGGAGCTTCGTTTGGGAGACTTCGTAACAGCATCCTGTTACAATCATTTCTTGTTTTACTTAATTGTACAGATTTTTCCAATTCAAACAACATATGAATACATGTAATAAACGTAGCAACAACTGTATATATACTAATGCAACTTCGATTCAACGTAACTGCGAGCACCTTCGATAGTTATACATCTAAATGCCAAACTGTATATAGTACCATAAAACGATCGTAGAAACCGCCTAAACATTTCTCGTGCCCCATGGACGTAACTTCAAACTTAATAATTATAGTAAGTGCTGTTGCAGAAGTAGTTATAATAGTTTCCATCTATATACAAGTCATACAAATAGCAAACGGGAACAACCCCATTTCAAACGAAATAAATTTTTAAAAATATATATAAATCTCTAATCCTTTACTCTCAACCTTTACAATACTTGGAAACAATGTACTTCTGAATTGATTGCATCTCTTTAATGTATCAATTACGCCTCTGCTTATTTTTCTGTCAGTGCAAATTATTTATGCTCAAATGATATGTATGGTAGATGTCCATACCCTTTTAGTCCTGTCTTTAGGTTGTGGTTTATTCACTTTTGGTGAACTTCACTCATGAAATTACATGTACTCTATATAAATCGCTATTTTGCCGCAGCCGGCAAATACCACTATGGGTGTTATTTTGCAAGAGCCTTTTTTTTAGCTTCCATTATCAGCTTGCCTTTTCCGATGGAAAGGAATTGCTAGGTCACCACCTCTACTGCGGCTCTTGCTGCATGCGGGCTCTCTTTCTTTGTAAATAATCCGCCTCCCCTTTTTCCTGATCCTTGTGTTAAGTATCACTACTATCATTTAACAATTGTATCTACAAGGTGAAACAGCAAATATCATTATATGTTTATTTTTACTTTAAGGCTATTGTCACCTGGGAAAACGGCAAATTAATCACAGCTGCTAACCCAACGGAAGGATCAAAGGCAAAGGCAACACGTGTAGAAAGACGGATAGAGGGCGAACAGTTGATAATGGTAGGTTAAGTTTATTACATAGGCTGGGTTTAAGGGTACTTTAAACAGTATTGGTATGATTATAATTACATATTGTCTGTAATATGATTGGATCATAGCTAGGTACTTGGGGACAGGACAATTTTTTTTTAGCCCTCCCCCTTTTTTCCAATAAATGAATATCCGATAATACTAAATATCAGTGACCGCTGTGAATAGTAAACTTGGGATTGATAGTAAATAGCAAATACAAGTTATTTCTAGTATTTTTGTGTTCATATAATTCACAAAAAACGCGAAAATAACTGAATTGATAGAAAACAAAAAGATAACGGATATTGGAAAAAAGGGGGAGGACTAAAAAAAATTGTCCTGTCCCCAAGTAACTATTGATTGGATCCTATCTAGCTGTGATATTCCATGACCTGTCAGTGCTGTTGTTGTATATTGGGATATGTTTTTCCCTACTGGTCAGATAATGATTTTATGCACAATCAGTTTTGGTAGAATTTTCATTGGTTCTGATGGAGATACAGTAAATTGTAATGTCATATTACTTATTAGTTTTCTATATCTTGATTTAATTTTTCTTCTCTGACTTATATTGCCAAGAAAAAAAAGATGACATCTGTAAAATTTTATTGTTTACCCTGCATTTAAAAAAAGAAATAATCTGATTTGATTAAATGGTACCTCCTAACGTGTATTGCTACAAGTATAATTTTACCCAATTTCATTAAGCTTACCATCATAACAGTTTATTTTGTTAAGTATACATAAAAGGCACCAAAGAAAGAGATGTTAAAACTAGAAATAGTCTTTTAAATATTTTTTTCACATTTCAGGATGTTTCTGTAAATGCTGTAATGATGAGAAGAATATGGAAGAGAAAAAGTTAAACATAGTGATATTTTATGCTAGCATAGACTGAGTTTGGTGTGAACATTGGTTTTGTTTCTTATTTATCATGTTTATATGAATCTACATATCAGTTTGTCAAAAAAAAATCAGAAAATTATTGTATTTTATCAATTTAGGGATATTGTTACCATGGTTACATCATGAAAAGGTTCCAAAAAGGTATATTACCTTGTTGATATGACAGCATTCATATATCATAAACAATGAAATCATATTATATGCTTATTCCAGAAACTTTTTTTTTCAATAGACTTGCTATAAGTCGTAAATTTACTCATAAAGAAATCTGAGATATTACTCAAGTTTTAGAAATTTACAAAAGATATTAAAATTTTAGGTTCCCAGGGACCAGGCTCCCAGTTATAAGATTCAAAATATTCTTTTATGATTAATCTTCAAATTTAACTGCCAGTATTAGGTTGTTTTGATTTGTACTGTCAGTATCAGGTTGTTTTGATTTTTACTGTCAGTATCAGGTTGTTTTGATTTTTACTGTCAGTATCAGGTTGTTTTGATTTTTACTGTCAGTATCAGGTTGTTTTGAATTTTACTGTCAGTATCAGCGGCTCTTTTCACAAAAAATCTTAAGAGTAAAAATACTCGTAAGTCATACACATTTCAGTATAACTTACGATCAATTTTAATCGTAAGATTTTTTGTGAAAAGAGTCGCAGGTTGTTTTAAATTTTACTTGGTCGAATACTATTAAAAACATGCCATGCGGTCAAACTATTTAGTCAATAGAGCTGTATGTTGTACATGATTTAAATTGCTGGCATTAAAGCCAGCTTCATAACACTCTTCAAGCTTATAAAGCAACGAATTTGTGATATTTTATCTAGTCATTTGTTATGGTATATCATTAAATATGTTTAAGAGAAAATTGTTTGAGGATGCAAAGCATATCATGACCAAGCATATCAAGACAGCTGATTCTTTTTTTATGAAAACAAAGAGGCATAAACAGATCAGAAAGTTTATGTCCACACAACTTTATAAGGCAATAGTTTGTGATACAAGTTAAGTTTTATGTTTGGGCATTTTTTTATTTTTTTGAATTTCATTTAGAAATTTTAGATATTATAAAATTTTGGTGGATTCGTTGGAAAAAAAATGTAGAAATATTTCATTACATCCGTTAAAGAATTACAGGGATACGAAATTTAATTTCAGTCTAACCTTCACCCCACTATAAATTGTTGTACATGTTTTTATAAGTGGTATATTGTTATTACAGCATATACTTTATATACATGATATATAAAAGAAATTGTATTTTCTTTGGCATTTAAAAAAATGTATTTTTTTTACATTATTAAAATTTTTAATTTCTTTTGGCATAATTTAAAAGAATTTGTATTTTCTTTGGCATTATTAGACATAAGATTTATGAATGAAATACTCACTATATGTGCTTGTTATTAAAATATACATATTTGCAAACATATACTTTGTATACAGTAGAGTATTATTATTATCCATGTCCAAACTACATTATACAATTTAAAGATATTATTTGTGAAACTTATTTACAGTACTCAAGTAAACACCAAAGGTTGTTTAAATTATCAAAATTTTTACTAAGTTTATACAAACTTTTTTAATATTTCTAAATTGTAATCTGAGACTACTATAACACTTGTGTTACAATAGTCTCAGTTGTTATGTAGTTTATTTTTAAAACATAGACCTTACGTATGTCACATTTAAAGTGATTTTGACACTATTCCATGTATTTATTTCACAAGCAGGATCATTTTCAAAATTGTATTTTAATCTTTACTTTAATTCACATTAGCATGTACGTTTGGGTTCAGACTATATTAATATATGAGCTGCATCGGATATATAAAAATCGACCTTATGCAAATGAATATCAATACATCTGTTAACTTATTTCGGGTTAAAAAAATATATGCAAAGTCTGTAGTGGTTGAAAATTGAGTTGATATCAGAAACCTACAAAACAGACTAAAATTCATCTCTTATTTCGTATTTTGATGTTCCAAAATCAATCAAAGTCTTATACATATACTTGCATACGTGTACTTGCATAAGGTCGATTTCTATCCGACACAGCTCATATATCTATATGTCTGAGGATTCAATTAATATATATTCGATGCTTTAACACTACATATTTAGATAGTTTTTTATACGACCGCAAAAAAATTTTTGTGGTCGTATATTGGTATGACGTTGGCGTCGTCGTCGTCGTCGTCGTCGTCGTCGTCGTCGTCCGGCGTCGTCGTCCGAATACACATTAGTTTTCGCACTCTAACTTTAGTTTAAGTGAATGGATCTCATTGAAATTTTACCATAAGGTTCAATACCACAAAAGGAAGGTGGGGATTGATTTTGGGGGTTATGGTACTAACAGTTAAGGAATTAGGGGCCAAAAGGGGCCAAAAATAAGCATTTTTGTAACTTCCAGACATAACTTGTGTGTAAGTGTATGGATCTCTCTGACATTGTACCACAAGGTTCCATATCACAAAGGGAATGCTGGGATTGATTTTGGGGGTATTTGTCTCCAAATTTTAGGAATTAGGGGCCAAAAAGGGGCAAAAAACAAGCATTTTTCTAGTTTCATGACAATAACTTGTTTGTAAGTGTATGGATCTTTATGAAATTGTACTACAAGGTTCCATATCACAAAGGGAATACTGGGATTGATTTTTGGAGTAATTTCCTCCAAATATTAGGAATTAGGGGCCAAAAAGGGGCAAAAAACAAGCATTTTTCTAGTTTCAGGACAATAACTTGTGTGTAAGTGTATGGATCTTTATGAAATTGTACTGCAAGGTTCCATATCACAAAGGGAAAGCTGGAATTGAGTTTGGGGGTAATTGCCCTAAACGTTTAGGAATTTGGGGCCAAAAAGGGGCCAAAAAACAAGCATTTTTCTAGTTTCCAGACAATAACTTGTGTTCAAGTGTATGAATCTCTCTGAAATTGTACTGCAAGGTACCATACCACAAAGGGAAAGCTGGGATTGAGTTTGGAGGCGATGAATCATAAGGGGGTTCAAAAAATTGGGGGGGGGGGGGGATTTTTTTTTTCCTTTTTTTTCTTTAACATTTTCCATTTTAAATTGGTTATTTCTGATTTATATATAAAAGCAAATAATAATGATATGGTTTGAATAGGCATACATGTGAACCTCCCGACGGGAGTACAATAATCCCGTTTTCAGGGGTCTCTTCCCCCCCTCCCGTTGAAAAAATCCTGTGTATGAAATTTTTCATGAATGAAAAATTTCTGCCCAACATAACATCTCAGGCATCTGGTGTAACTGACATTACCTGAAGTTATATTTTACCTGTAAATCAATTAACATGCATAATTATATGGCTTCACTTGTCAGCTTGGGTGTCAAACTTACTGGTAAGCAACGATTTTTACCTCAGGCTAACTGCCGTTGTGTAACAAAAACTGTGTATTTATTGGGTTACTTCCCTTGATTTATCCTGTTTTAAGTTACTTTCCTTTTAATAATGAAAATTTTTAAAAGAATATAAATAAAATATAAATTGAACAAATAATCATAAAAGGATGGTTATTAAATGATTTTAAATGTCTTAGGACAAATAAAAAAATAATAATTTGAAAATTATTTGAGGATTCTGTACTTCCTTTTAAGGCTTAAATTGAAATTTATATAATAACTATGACCCTAATTTTACAGATAGAATGAATTTCTGAGTTTGCAAATAAAAACTATTTGCAAGAGAAAAAAAAAAAAAATAAAAACTATTTGCAGACAGCTAAACAAATGTTCTGGTTGCAATGATTGTTTTATAGAATATGAAGTAAAAAATTTAAAGAACATACTGGAAAAAAACAATGTTAGATTGAACATGTAGAATATAAAGATGGAGAAACTTTATAAGTACAAGGGTACTATAAACATAATAAATTGGTTGGAAAGTTGAAGAAAACACACTTTAAAAGACCATTTTTACAGCACACGGTTACATTTACAACAAAATTAATGTCGATTAAAAACCTCCTGATCTGAGTCCTAATCTCCTGACCAAAATTTCCCAATCTCCTGATCTGAGTTTCACAGTCCATCACATGTATGAATAGGTAAATTGAAAATTTTTAAGTTCTTAGACCACTTTCATTCTGTGTCAGAAACCTATGCTGTGTCAAATCCAAATTCAGTGCTGTATCAAGCTTGAATGTTGTGTCCATACTTGCCCCAACTGTTCAGGGTTCGACCTCTGCGGTCGTATCAAGCTGCGCCCCAGCGGAGCATTTTATTGTTTGATATGTTATTGCAATTTTTGTCAAAAACAAATTCAAACAATAACCAAAACTATAGAAAATATGATTCCAATACAGATTAATTCAGTTTGGTTGCACTAGGATGTTCTTTATTGCAATGTTTTAAAAACAAACATGTAAAAAAGTTGAATCGTTTTAGCTACAGACTGAATTTTAACTAATATCAAAAATGTTGAAATGTTATTGAATGTTATTATTTTGACTCTTGGCCAATCAAATTCCAAAAGATTTAATCAACTGTCCGATATTCAATCTGTCTGTGAAACAAATACAAGGAACACTAGCAATACTTCTGAACCATTCTGTTGGTTTGCTTGGATGAAGTAAATTAATAATCAAGATAATATTTGGAATAAATTGACGTTAACTCAACACCTCTTTCATTCAAGTATGAATATATAAATTTACATGTGCTGCATATTGTAATGGGACCAATGAAATATTGTACTTGTTGTTTTTCTTTAATGGTGAAATAATGTTTTTTTTTGTGTAGATACGATTTACCTACAAAAAAACAGCGAAATGATATTTCATCACAACACAAAGTTTTCTGGTCACAAATTTATTATGCATAAAATAGTCAACAATAAAGAACAGTTGTTATTATATAAGCTAGTGTTTTCCTCTGCCACTGCACTGTACTGAGGCTCAACCAAGGAGCAATGAAATTATAAATCCAAAGGGAGAGGCAATATCGTGGCAAAATTGAGAAAAAGACAAAATGAAACTAATAATTTTTCACCAAATATTACACAGAAAACGTAAGATGAACAGATAGACAGTCTGTCACTTATTAATCAGTATTATTATAGGACCGCGCTAGGCTTCGCCAATGTCGCAAATTGCGATTTTTTTAATTTCATCTGGCGACAAAATACGGCTGCTGGCGATATTTCTGCGGCCAACATTTTCCGACGTCAGAAATTTCATTGCTTGACTGTGACGGTAATAATATCGATCGTCATTAAAATTGCTAAAAGTAAAAAAAAAAAATGAATTGTACGAAATATTATCTGGCGATAAGTTAATGACTTTGTTTACGACCCCATTCTAATCAACGGTCACATCAGGTGTCATAATCAGTTGTTACAGGTAATCCGATTATCCGATTCAATTATAACAACAATATACTCTCGATAATCGGATCTTGTGACATGGTACGGTGATATCTCCAATATGCAAATCATTAAACTGCGCCGGTCCGCCAAGTAGCAATTGATTTATATTCCCCGCCATAGAACTATCTTCAAATGATCTGACTTGGTCTATTGCTGACTCTATCCTTTTGAAAAAGTCTGTTGGTAATGAATCCCATCGTTCATAGCATTCGGAACAAAGGCTGCATATATTATAAGTGATTCTATTCTAGTTGCAATCCGAGAAAATAATAGATGTGCATTCACGATGGTAATTCTTTCAGCTATTTTTCAATTGCCCTGTTGGGAAAGTATTAGCCTACTATGTGTTCTTCTTTCTGTTAGTGGCGGTTAGTTAAGTTATTTCATAGTATGCTGTCATTAAACCAGGTTCCTGCAGGTGTCAAATGCACTCGACTCCAATCTTAATTGACTAGGATTGTCAGTTTCCCTACCGAAGATCGGCGGTTCTCTCCGGCTTCTTCCGCCAATAAGAACCGATCGCCATAGA